ATGCTCAAGCATGGAAACTCTCAGAAATCTTCTCAGCCCCAGTAGATGCTGACTAGGAAATTGCCCATTGCTGTCTGAGGGGCACCACATAGGTGAAAACAACGTTGAGTTCTCATGGCTCCTCTTTCTCCATCTCCCCCTACCTGAGCACCAGATGGCAGAGAGGTTAAGCTCTCTAAAGTCTCCTACAAATTACACAGGGCACCAGACCAAGAATTTTATAGCCTCGCCTCCCTCCAATGCTTCTAGGCTCAGAGATGGTGAATTGCCACCCAGATGGTTGGGGTAGGCCACTTAACTCGGGCTTATTTCACTGGATACCAGCAGAGTAACAACAGGAGGGTGCACATCAACTGGCACCAGCCTAAGAACTATCCCTACACCTGAGCATGTAAATGGTAGCTCACTCCCCAGGCTAGCATTATCTTTGGCCCTAGGACCATTTGTTGTAGCAGCTTAATAGGAAATAAAAAGAAAAAGAAAAAAGATATAAAAAACTAAACTTTCCTCACTATCACCATAAAACTTTAGTGTAACAAACAAACCATTAATGCTGATGTTTATGTTTAGAGTTTGGAGGAACCATTAAAACAAAGTGGCCTTGAATTTTAACCAGATGAGGTTAGGGGAAGCCTGAGGGGACTGAGAACAAGCTGGGAAAGGCACACAGGCAAAGACAAATGCTAATGGCCACCACCAGCAAAAGTGATGGCCAGGCTCTTCTGCTTCCAGAAATCATCACTATTCAAACACAATTCCCACTTCAGAGAGGAAAGAACAAAAGTCCTCCTTCCAGTGTGTTGAACTTAAAGAGGACTCAATGTCCCCTTCCAAAGGGGAGTGAGTTCCAGTCATATAACCTTGATTTCAGCCTCCCCATCTTCCCAACACCACCTTTACTCCAACCTATAGAGTAAGTATTGAGGGATATCTTTTTGCTTTCAAAGGAGACTTATGGGCACGTTTACTGGATATCTTTTTGCTTTCAAAGGAGACTTATGGGCACGTTTACTGGATATCTTTTTGCTTTCAAAGGAGACTTATGGGCACGTTTACTCCTGACCTCTAGAAGCATCACAATGAGGACTTAAATGGCCTGAGTGTGCTTCCCACATCAAACCCCATGTCTTATAGGATCTTGGTTCTGTCTCTAGGACCACATAAGTTTGAAAGCTAATGTCTTTGAGTCCTTTTCTCTCTCCTTTCTTTGGCAATTTACTTCCAGCCAAAGAGGACAGGGTTTTGTTCTTGTTTTTTCTGTGTGTGTGTGTGTGTGTGGTTTTTCTGTTTGTTTGTTTGTTTTTTGTTTTTTGTTTTGGAACTTCTACACCAAGAAGGACAGTGTCTTTGAAAACCCAAGTAGTAAGGGTAGGGCAGAGAGACTTGGAAAGATGTCCTTATGGGCTTAGAACTAAGAGAGAAAATCATGATGGGATGTTCAAATCATCCATACATTGATAGACTCCCTCCAGTTAGGGACATTCACATCCTGAAATGGCCCTGTCTTGACAGGACAATTGCATAGGATATTAGCTAGTGTGCTGCTTTGTCCTCTAAGGAGCTTCTACTTGCCCCAGTGTAGGTGTGATAATTCTTTGTCTGGGTGCACTCTGTCAAAATAATACTCATCATCATAACAATAACAATTACTGGACCTGAAGATGGTATGGTGGTTAAGGTGCTTGATCCCACATGGCCAAATCCATGGTTCAAGTCCCAAACCTGGAGGCTTGAAAATTACAACAGGCACATGTGTGTGCATGCCCAAAATCCCAAGAAAAGACTGAAAGAAAAGAGATTATGGTGTAACCAACCCCCCCCCCAAGGGTTAATTTCTCACTCTCTCTCTCTCTCTTCCCCTATAGCAAAAACAATAACAATTATTATTATTACTACTGTTACAATTTATCCAACACTTACCATATGCCAAATAAAATAAATCACTCTGCATATATTACCTCATATTCTTCCTATAAAGTCCATACTGTATTCCCTTCTCCATTTCTCCCACTATCCACCTTGTAAAGGTATAAACGAAACTCATGGACCACTGAAGTAGGGAGGCCATTGGCCTCCCAATACTATGGTTATCAACCATGTTCTGCCACCACCCATATCATCCTAAACCCACTGTGGTTATAGAATGAAACATCAGGAACAATTAACTCACTTTTTGACAAACTTCTCTTATCAGATGACCTGGTGTTCATTTAGTCGAGTATTTTTGAGTAGTCACTATGTGCCTATATTTTTACAGTTTGTTCACAGGGATAAACAAGGTGTAACTTTAGGCCCTACTCTCCAAGATGATACAACTTACCCCAAAGTTAATGTTCTCCTGGAGGCATCTGTGGCCTATGTCACCCAGCCTTCCCTGCAGGCACTACCTCTTTGCCTTACTAAATTGCTTCCTTTCATGATTCAACAGATGAATTCAAAATGCAAAATATATATATGCAGTTGACCCTTGAATAGTACAGGGATTAGAGATCCTGACTTCCCATGCAGTCAGTAATCTATGTATAATTTGGACTTTCCAAAAACTTAACTACTAATAGCTTAACAACATAAATGGTCGATTAACACACATTTTGAATGTTATACATATTATATGCTACATTTTTACAATAAAGTAGAGAAAAAATGTTATTAAGAAAATTACAAGAAAAAGAAAATACATTTATAGTACTTACTAAAAAGAAACTGTGTATAAGTGGACTCAAGCAGTTCAAACTTGTGTGGTTCAAGTATCAACTATGGGTATACATGTATATATACAAATACATATATGCATGTATTTGGTATATATGTATGTGTCTAATATATGTATTAGAAAAAGGACAAACCTTGAATGCTTCAAAATTGTAGGCCTGTCAATAGATCCTTACCTTCTATAACAATACTGATATGGATAGATCCTGAATTCATGAATAACTCAGGGCTGATAGCTGCCTTCCAGCAAACTTACTGCCCCTCCCCAGAGCTACAGAATAACATGAAACCTAATAGATTAGTACCCTGAATAGATTAGTACCTTGAATAGATTAGTACCTTGAAGAGATTAGACTACCTGCTTCTCTGACTCCTCCCTGTGACACTCCATAGGGCAGTTTCTGAGCCCGTTCCCTATCCTAAGACCTCTCCTTTCCCTAATCTCCCCATAAAAGACCATGTCCAACCCCCAGTTGGGGCCAGAGATTCAACGTGCTAACTCCTCCATGCCTGCCAATATAAGAAAGAGTTCTCCTAATCTTTCCAAGTGCTGCTTTCCATTCCTGGTTTTCTGCAACAATACTTCCCCTTCAAAAATAATCAGCAGGATATTTTTAAAGTAATACATGTAAGGCTATAATTTTAAAAACACAAAATATGTCCAAGGGTTGGATAACTTGTCTGAGGTCACATGGCTACTACCTCGATAGGTTTAAGTTTAGTTGTGAGTGACCAAAAAAAAAAAAAAAAAAAAAAGCCAGAGGTTGGCTTTTCTCCATATCACTATCCTCAGACACCCAAGCTACTTTCAGCTTCCCTCTCAATTATCCAAGGAAGACACTGTTGAATGGCAATGATCCCATTTCACTAGTAAGGAGGAGGAAAGGAGCTTGTCAGTGGCATGGTGGTTAAGACAGCCGAATGCCACATGGCTGGCTATGTGGTTTGAGTCCTGGACCTGGCAGCTTGCAAAGCACACATGTGGGTGCATGCCCAAAATCCCAAAAGGAGGGAGGAATGGAGGAGGAGAGACCATTTCCCATGGGGGGGGAGTGTTTTCTCATTTCCCTCTATCTCTTTATCTCTTTCCCCTGCAAGTACATGCATCCTATAGCAAAAGAAAAAGAAAGAGGATGGGATAAAGAAGGGACACAGCGCACAAAGGTTTTCTAATGTCACTTCTACTTATATCTCTTTAGCCGGAACTTTCTAACATGGCCACAACTACCTTTTTTTTTTTTTTTTTTTTTTTTTTTTTGAGGAGTTTTTTTTTTTTGGGGTGTTTTTTTTTTTTTTGAGAGAAGTTTTTTGCTATAGGGTGTGTACTCTCACCAGAAAGACAGAGAGAGACAGAGAGACAGAAAACAAGAAATCACCCCCTGGGAGGGATGACCATGCCACAATCCCTTCTCCTCCATTCTCCTCTCGGGTTCTTGGGCACACACATGCACCCAGCGTGAGTTTAAGCCATCGGGTTCAGAACTCGAATCGCAGTCAACTACATGGGAGTCCAGCCAGGTAGCCATTACACCATCTGCTGGTCCCAACCACAACTATCTCTTAAGGAGATTGAGAAATATAGTCTTTTCTAGGCACTGTTTTATCCAGCTAAAAATTCTACTACTAAGGAAGGAAGGACTTTGGGGAAATAACCATTTCTGTTACAGCTGCTAAGTGGTACAACTATGATAGAAACCCAGATCAGGGGACTTCAAAGCCCCTACTCCACTAAGATCTTGCAGGCTTTCATTTCAGTTTTTATATCCACAACTATTGGTGCTCTTTTTCTCACTGAATACGGAAATTATAAGTTTGATAATGGAACTTTCTTGACTTAATCATTGATTTTCTTGACTTATAAAATCTTCAGTTCAATAGCTAGAAACCATTTCTAACCTGGGGTCTTTGGGGTTTTAAATTATGCCCACTAATTCTTTCATAGTCCTCTTTTCTCTCTCTCTAGCTCTCTCTTTTTTATCAGATTTTTTCCATGGGGTATATGCATTCACCAGAGAGAGACAGAGAGAGAGGGAAAGTGAGAAATCACCACCTACGGGGGATGGCCACACTTTAATTCCTTCCTCTTCCATTCTCCTCTTGGATTTTTGGGCATGTATGCATGCACGCATGCCCGGCATGTTTTTCAGGCCACCAGGTCCGGCACTAGAACTGCAGACTCGGCCATATGGGATCCAGCACCTTAACCACCACACCACCTGCTGGCCTTAATAGTTTTATTTTCAAAAGCTGGGACCTAATTCTGCTTTCCTTAATTGTGGGTTGTATAGATATGGCACAACAATGTATGGCATCTGAGTCAAGGTCATGCAAGGATCAAGCCAAATCCCATATCATGAAGTCATTGATGCAGTCCTAAGCAGAGGCCCTCATGGCAGAAAATTGAGAACTCCAGCCAACAGCCAAGCAAGTGAGCTTAGATGTGGATTCCCCAGCCCTGAAGAACCTTTCAAATTGGTGCAGTCCCAGCAAATGCCTTTACTACAACCTCTTGAGGGATACTGGGCTAAAACCAGCTATGCTGAATTCCTGACACACAGACTGTGGGATAATAGATGTTTGTTGTTGTTGCTGTTGTTTTTAGAATTATTTTATTTAACTTTATCTATCTATCTATTTTTTTTTTTTTAATTTGACCAGAGAGGGACAGGGGGCGTAGAGGGGAGTGAGAAAGCACGCCACCAGGTCCAGGACTCAAACCATGTTGTTTTAAATATAAGTTTAATGTTCTTTCTGCTTGAGAATAAAATAAAGTAAAAATGACCATCTTGGTCTAGAGAAGATTTGTATTTTAGATGGCCATGTTCTAGCTCATTGCCTACTTATAAATGATTTGGAGCAAGGTTTGGAGACCCTATAAATACCCTCATGAATAGAGAAAACCAGTGAGTCATCCCTGCTAGAATATGCTGCTAATATCACACCCTTGAGTAGTCCCCAAAAAACAGGTGAATCTGCTGGGGGCCAATTACTAGAAGGAGAAATAGCTCAGTTTCAATGAAGCCAACATCCATATGAAGGGATTTGGCAAACTCTCTTTAGCACCCAGATGGATAATGCAGAACAATTCTACCCAGTAGGTTAACTCATTTAGTTATCTGGGGAAACACTATGGGGCTTAATTGCCTTAGTAGATCTATTAGGATGTACTTCTGTTGAAAGGAAAAGGTCCAACAGGAAGAATATCCAAGTTGTTTTATGATAAAGAGTTGGTAGTACCTGTTCCTCAAATGCTCAAGTCAAGGTCATGCTTTATTAGGCAGGTTCTTGAACTTTAACACCAAAATATCACCTTTGCCTGTTATCACAAGCAGCAAGGAACCAGATAAACACATTCTACAGGGCATACACGGAATCACGATGGGGGGGGGGCTTTCTAAACTACAATCCACTCTCATCTCTGCATGCCAGAAGTCTAATATGAGCACCTCTTCCGTCATTGAAAATCATGCCATTATTTTATATATACTACTAGTGAAAGTGTGCTTTTAAAAAGCCTCAAAAATTCTAGAATGAGAGGTAAGGGTGAAAGCCACCAAGGTATCTGAAAGACCAATATAAAATGCTTGTATATTTTGTATTTTGATTATGGGCCAAAGGGTTTTTATTTAAAATACAACTAAGAAAATTATTTTTCCAATAGGGATACTTTGAGACTGTCCCTGGAATAACTCATGTCTACCTTTTTGCCTCTACCAATTGGAAGTTTTGAACTAAATTTCATGCTCATTCACAGGAAATGTATTAGATTAAGTGGCCGTCATATTTTTTTTCTTCCTCTTTGTAAGAAGATTTCTATTTTCTATCTCTGTTCTGACAGCCTTTGTAATTTTTTTTCCTTTTATTAAATGATGTCTTGATCACTTTTGGAAGCAGGCAGACTATAAATTACAAATGAATAAAATGAAACAAGAAGAGGAGGTACTCAAGTCTCCTTTTTGGCCACGGTTAACAAAATATATTTCAGAATAAGATGCAAGAGCTACTAGATGTTGTAGGTAAATGTCCCTTCAATGAGGAAGTCCTTGCGAGCAGCTACCATCACAGAAATCCTTCCTTTGCTCTGCTAACAAAGCTTCACAACGCTCCACAAAAGACCTCTCTCAAGGCTCAAAGGCAGGTCAAGGCCTCAGGAGGAAGGTACTTGGGTAGATCAAAGATGCTGGTTGTAAAGCTAATTCCCAGCTCAGGGACAGAGCTGTATATATGGCACTCTCACTCACGTTGGGGTGACGTGGTTCACTGTGTAGCTTTTATCACCTCCTCCGGAGGAGAGAACTTTAAGCCCTCAGCTTCTCAGATAAGAGTTTTGAGCATCTCTGGTACTGGATGGTTGTGCAGCAGTAAGAGCAATGCTCTGCGATGCTGACTCACATGAGAAGGGTTCAGTTCACATCTGGAAACCTCCCTGAACACACCAGGTGCTCATGTGCCTGTGGTCCAGGGCTAGCTGAAGACTAGGGATGGATCACAGTGTGAGGGCCTCATTGGAGGTGCTTTTCTCTCTCTCTCCCACTCTCGCTCTCACTCTCGCTCTCTCTATCATCCCTGGAAGAAAAGAAATAGAAAAAAGAAAAGAAAGAAAGAAGGAAGAAACTTGTTTTAAAAGCATTATGAGCTTCTTTACCTGTGACAGAAATGTTTCTGGCTGGGGGGATGTTTTGGTTTGTTTGTTTGTTTGTTTGTTTCATGAAAGATACATACACAAGTACCCTAGACAGCATCTCACTAGTCTGCAGTCTTCCCCACAGCCAGCCAGCACATCTGGCACCATCAGGTCAACCATGTATGTGAGCCCGAGGCCTCTCATGTCTCTGATATCACACAGCAGCACCCTATCGCCTGCAATACTGCAGCTGGGTTTGTTTCTGCTCCCTTAATACTTCCTCTTGAGGGGCCAACAGGTGGTGTGGTGGTTAAGGCACTGAACTTCTACATGGCTGACCACAGTTTGAGACCCAGACCTGATGGCTCAAAAAATCAAACCAGATCCGTGTGCATATGTGCCCAAAATCCCAGGAGGAGAATGGAGAAAAAGGGATTGCAGCATGGCTCTCCTCCCTAAGGGATGATTTCTCACTTGCTGTCTCTATCTCCAGGGAACACAGGTACCTTATGACAAAAAACTAAAAAACAAAAACAAAAACAAAAACAACTCCCTCTTGAAAAGTCTGTAGAGGATCAGTATCTCCAAAAAAAAAAGGTAAGCAGAGGATCTTAAATCAACCAGCAAATTAGAGAAGATGAGAAGATAAAGGGGGTGGGGGAGTGGAATCTTTACCAAAACAAAAATCCCATGGACCAGATGGGTGGGGGTGAGGGAAGCCTTTCGGAGCTCACTACACAGAAGCCAGCCTCCAAGCACAAACTCATGCCCATCCCCCGTCTTTCCTGGGCTGCAGGGCACCTCTGCTCTCAGTGAGGAGCAAGCTGGGCTCACACAGAGCTTTAAAAATACCTTTCCACCCACTGAATGTTTGATTAATCAGCCAAGTGCGTCACAGTGGTGGCAGCGATATCTATGATAGTGATGTGATGGGTGCCAAGAAGGCACAAAGGGTCTTATGGAGCAGGGAGGAGGAATGACTGACTACATGAAAGTTAAAAGCCTGAGCTCTGAAGTCAGGTGAGTTTCTAAATCCCAAGTCCAACAGATGATAGTTAGGTAACCTTGGACAAGGTTAACGTCTCCATTTTTTACATCTGCAAAAGTGTAGTTAATAACAGTACCTGCATGATAGGATTATTGAAAGGATGAGATGAGTCCATTCACATAAAGCACTTTGAACTGCTCCTAGCACGTAGTAAGCACTCAATAAACTTTGACTGTGATAATGATTATAGTCACTGTTGTAACAGTGACAATATTGAAATTCGAAAGATGGATAGGCATTTCCCAGGTAGACAATGAATATTTCTGACATAAGCAGCTTGAACAAAGGCAGAGAAACTGAAAGGATCTTGAGGCAGCAGGGAACCATTTGGAAAGCAAGCAGGGAGTTGAAGCAGACAAAAGAGAAAGGATCCATCCAGGCCACACAGGGCTCCATATGCTTTGTTACGGAGTTTAGCTATCACTAACACTTCTGCAGGCTGTGGAGAGCCATTTAATACTGATAAGCTGAAGCAATGCATTAAAAGGTGAAGTTACCATAACTGAAAATTACTTTGTACTGATTCAGGTCAAAAAAATAAAATTTAGGGACCAGCAGTTAGTGTAATGGCTATGTCGCTGGACTCCCACGTAGTCGACTGTGGTTCGAGTCCTGGACCCAGGGGCTTAAACTCATGCCAGGCGCATGTGCGTGTGTGCCCAAGATCCCGAGAGGCGAATGGAGGAGAAGGGATTGTGGCGTGGCCATCCCCCCTGGGGGGTGATTTCTTGCTTTCTCTCTCTGTCTCTGTCTGTCTGGCGAGCGCACATGCCCTATAGCAAAAACCTTGGGGGTGAGGGAAGCCTTTCGGAGCTCACTACACAGAAGCCAGCCTCCAAGCACAAACTCATGCCCATCCCCCGTCTTTCCTGGGCTGCAGGGCACCTCTGCTCTCAGTGAGGAGCAAGCTGGGCTCACACAGAGCTTTAAAAATACCTTTCCACCCACTGAATGTTTGATTAATCAGCCAAGTGCGTCACAGTGGTGGCAGCGATATCTATGATAGTGATGTGATGGGTGCCAAGAAGGCACAAAGGGTCTTATGGAGCAGGGAGGAGGAATGACTGACTACATGAAAGTTAAAAGCCTGAGCTCTGAAGTCAGGTGAGTTTCTAAATCCCAAGTCCAACAGATGATAGTTAGGTAACCTTGGACAAGGTTAACGTCTCCATTTTTTACATCTGCAAAAGTGTAGTTAATAACAGTACCTGCATGATAGGATTATTGAAAGGATGAGATGAGTCCATTCACATAAAGCACTTTGAACTGCTCCTAGCACGTAGTAAGCACTCAATAAACTTTGACTGTGATAATGATTATAGTCACTGTTGTAACAGTGACAATATTGAAATTCGAAAGATGGATAGGCATTTCCCAGGTAGACAATGAATATTTCTGACATAAGCAGCTTGAACAAAGGCAGAGAAACTGAAAGGATCTTGAGGCAGCAGGGAACCATTTGGAAAGCAAGCAGGGAGTTGAAGCAGACAAAAGAGAAAGGATCCATCCAGGCCACACAGGGCTCCATATGCTTTGTTACGGAGTTTAGCTATCACTAACACTTCTGCAGGCTGTGGAGAGCCATTTAATACTGATAAGCTGAAGCAATGCATTAAAAGGTGAAGTTACCATAACTGAAAATTACTTTGTACTGATTCAGGTCAAAAAAATAAAATTTAGGGACCAGCAGTTAGTGTAATGGCTATGTCGCTGGACTCCCACGTAGTCGACTGTGGTTCGAGTCCTGGACCCAGGGGCTTAAACTCATGCCAGGCGCATGTGCGTGTGTGCCCAAGATCCCGAGAGGCGAATGGAGGAGAAGGGATTGTGGCGTGGCCATCCCCCCT